CTTTTTTCTGTGCACAACGCAAATAATTTTGTATACAAGCTTCATTGAAATCCTGTACACAATACGTACAACTTGACTAGTTACAGCCAAATATAATAATATACGTCAAGAAAACGGCGTATTGCATTTCCAGACGACTACCCAAAGTATTGTTACGAAATACACCCTTACGCCGCCCCAGTACGACGCCTATGGCGGTCGAGAGCCTTCTGGACGTACGCACGGCGCTGATGGGTGAATCATCGCTGTTGACGGCCGAGAGGCGGGCGCATAAAGACAGATCTGGAGCCGTCTCGAAGCAGCGTCCAGGGGAATCGCGAAGCGGAGTCGCGATGGATGTTCGTGAAGGATCTCGATCAAAGAATATGAGTTTAAATAGAGGCGACCGTAGGTAATGGATTCATTGATCCAGTGAAGACAGTCGAGAGCGCCGGAATAATTTCTGTACATATTCGTCGCAATAGTTAGTGTTGTAATTCGACCTGAAGAAATAAATTTTTTGAGTTTTACCAACGCCCGATTTATTATTCGTCCGTCAATCGTAACACTGGTGTCAGGAGTGGGATTAATTGTGAAATAAATCGGGATTCGAATTTGGTTGGTGCTACTAGGGGAGACCGGAACAAAGTGAACTTTCGAGAAAATTCTCTCCCGCGGTAAGAGTGGAATAACGGAATTAGACTTTCATCACCTGACATTGGCTTCGAGAATTGACATCTGTCAAGGCTCTAGAAGTTTCTAGAAGAAAATTTTATGCCGACTACCACAAGAGCGCAAACAGCCAACATGGAGGAACAACTGACAAAAATGATGAAAATGTTGAGCGAAAATCAAAGAATAATGGAAGAAAGTAGAAAAGAAGATCGAAGAATAATGGAAGAAAATAGAAAAGAAGATCGCAGAATAATGGAAGAAAATCAAAGAATAATGGAAGAAAATTTAAAAGCTATGCAAACTACACTTTTGAACAGCCGAAGCGAAATCCTCCAAGTCGTGCGAAATGAAGTGGACGAGGTGAGAAATGAAATGGAAAACAAGATCAAGGAGCTCGAAGAAAGGTTGCAAACACCACGACCTACAATTGCGACCCCTGCAGAATTCAGTCCGGTGAGAGTTCAACCCCCTATTTTCGATGGGCAGACGTCGTGGACTACTTATAAGAAGCAATTTGAAGCTGCGGCCTTGTCGAATAGCTGGAATGACCAACAGAAAGCGACCGCTTTGGTAGTAGCACTACGAGGTGCGGCCCTGGAGATTCTACAGACATTATCAGAAGAGAACCAGAAGGACTATACCGCTTTGACGACCGCCCTCGAACTCAGATTTGGAGATGAACACCTCCGGCAAGTTTTCGTAGCGCAGCTTAAATCTAGGATTCAGAAGAGTAGTGAATCTCTTCAGGAGTTTGCGGCTGATGTTAAACGTTTGGTACACCTCGCCTATCCTGAAGCTCCGCAAGACTTCCAAGACAGACTGGCAGCAGAAACCTTCGTAAACGGCGTAAGAGATAGTGAGGTAAGAAGAGTCCTGCAAATCTCCGGGTTCAAGAAACCATCCGAGGCGCTGATTCGAGCGTTAGAAGTGGACGCCGCATACAACAGCTCACCTCGTTCCAACGTTAAGATACGAGGCATTGGGGTTGAGGGCGAAGTAAACCCTATTCAAGAGAGTCTCGACAAAATGAGCGAGAACTTTGAGAAACTCGCCCGCGAAATAATTGCCGAAATCAAGACGGGCAGTTCTAGACAACATGGAGGGCGCCTAGAATGTTACAGGTGTGGGCGTCAAGGGCATGTTAGGAGGGATTGCCGTGTTAGATCGCCAGCGCCGATGAGGAGATCGCAGCCGCGACCTCCTCTACATCAGGAGCAGGAAAACTAAAGGCAGTCGGTATCTCGGGGCGCGTACTGGCTGCTAAAAGAGAAGCCCCAACAACTGTAATGGTTAGAAGTATCGCGGGGAGCGTCGACAGTGCGACAATCAGCGGAAAAATCAATGGACGGGAATCGAAGATCATCATCGACACAGGAGCCGAAGTGTCCCTTGCACGCAGATCCAGGTTACAAAATTGCCAAATTAAATCAGTACGTACCGCCACGAATGTGAAGACGGTCACGGGAGAAACAACACCGGTTCTGGGTACAGCGGTGGTGAATGTAGAGCTCGGTCGACTCCGAATAAAGCATGAAGTTCTGGTGGCGGAAATCGCTGACGATTTCATTCTGGGTATGGACCTAATCAGCCGGTATGGTTTAATGATCGACCCAGAACAGAAAATTCTGCGTTTCGGAGCCGAAGAATTTGTGTTGGGACGTCCGAATGTGGAAGCTGCAACGGTCAGACTAGTGGTCTGTCAGACAACGAAGGTAGATGGTAATGCAGAAGTCATCGTCCCCGCCAGAGTAGAGACGAACCCCGGATACAGTTTGGGGATGGTGCAGCCGGCACATGACTCGACCCACAAGCTCCTGATCGCGAGCACCCTAGTCAAAACCGATCGTGACATACCCTTACGTGTGGCAAACGTGTTTCCCAATGCAGTCAATATTAGAAAAGGGGAGATTATCGGAATGTGTGAGCCAGTCGCCCGAGTATTGAACTGCGAGGAAGAAGACGTTGAGAATGAGTCTAAGGAAGGGGATACCAAAGGCTTGGAGGTCAACTGGTGACACGCAACCGATCCGTCAGGCTCCTCGAAGACTACCCCTAGCCAAACAAGAAGAAGCTACAAGACTCGTGGACAACATGTTGAGAGATGGGGTAATTGAAGAATCCAACAGCGCGTGGTCATCTCCAGTAGTCTTGGTTACCAAGAAGGACGGGACTACCCGATTTTGCGTCGATTACAGGAAACTGAACGACGTCACGAAGAAAGACAGTTACCCCCTTCCTCGAATAGACGATACCTTGACGACCTTATCCGGCTCGGCGTGGTTTTCGACCTTGGACTTGAAGAGTGGCTACTGGCAAGTAGGTTTGCACCCGGACGACAAAGAAAAGACTGCGTTCTCCACCGGAAGTGGCCTCTATCACTTCACCGTTATGCCCTTCGGATTATGTAATGCGCCAGCAACATTCGAGCGGCTGATGGAGATGGTGCTGAAAGGATTGACATGGAAGACCTGTCTGGTATACCTCGACGACGTCATGATTATGGGCAAAACGTTTGACGACCATCTGAAGAATCTCGAGGAGGTGCTAGAACGAATGGAGAAGGCTCGTTTGAAACTAAATCCCAAGAAATGCTCGCTCTTCCAGAAAAGAGTCGAATTCCTGGGCCATATCGTGTCGGAGAAAGGAATAGAAACCAACCCGACGAAAGTTCTTGCTATCCGGGATTGGCCCATACCAAGAGACAAGCATGAACTACGAAGCTTCTTGGGACTCTGCACATATTACCGACGATTTGTAGAAGGGTATGCCGACATCGCAGCACCGTTACACCAACTGACGGAGCAGAAGGCGACTTTCAAGTGGAGCAGTACATGTGAGATGGCCTTTAAGAGACTGAAGACGGCTTTGTGCACCAGCCCCATTTTGGCTTACCCCAGGGACAAAGGAATGTTCGTCCTCGATACCGATGCGAGTAACTAGTGAGGGGCCGGATCAAGATTGCCAGTGACCGAATGAAGACCCGTTATGATGTGAAGGCCAACTGTGGCGGATTCCAGGAAGATGACTTAGTGTGGCTGTATAACCCCCGACGGAAGAAGGGACGTTGCCCAAAACTGGCTCCTGACTGGGAAGGTCCATACACTATCGTCACTAGAATAAATGACGTAGTTTATCGGATCCAACGTGGACCAAAGACGAGGATGAAGATCGTTCATCTCGATCGACTAAAACGGTACGAAGGAAACAACGAAGACGCTTCCGATCGGGACGATCGGATTTGAAGAGGGGGGCAGTGTTACGAAATACACCCTTACGCCGCCCCAGTACGACGCCTATGGCGGTCGAGAGCCTTCTGGACGTACGCACGGCGCTGATGGGTGAATCATCGCTGTTGACGGCCGAGAGGCGGGCGCATAAAGACAGATCTGGAGCCGTCTCGAAGCAGCGTCCAGGGGAATCGCGAAGCGGAGTCGCGATGGATGTTCGTGAAGGATCTCGATCAAAGAATATGAGTTTAAATAGAGGCGACCGTAGGTAATGGATTCATTGATCCAGTGAAGACAGTCGAGAGCGCCGGAATAATTTCTGTACATATTCGTCGCAATAGTTAGTGTTGTAATTCGACCTGAAGAAATAAATTTTTTGAGTTTTACCAACGCCCGATTTATTATTCGTCCGTCAATCGTAACAGTATTTATGTAAAACGACACATCTACCGAAGTCTCGTTTCTCCGTCATACTTAAAGTTCGAAATTTGTTTTTACTGAATAAAACCAAAAAGAAAATTACGTACATACAAGCGTACTACATTCGCTTTTCAGAATCAACCCAAGCGTAATCTTTTTAAGCGAAAATACCCTCTTTTAAATGAAAATGTACCGACTACCCTTATCGGCGACAATAACACCTCTCGTACCCTCCCAGTGCTTCTGCTTTTAACATACAACTCATATTCCCCCGTAATCAACGTAAACATCCCCCAACAGCGACTTCTTTTCATAAATTTCAAAATAGGCCCTGCAGTGCCACTTCACATCCTTTTAAAACACATAAAACCCCGCTCCTAGGAAAACGCAAAATTAATTTAATACCACAAAGCACCTGTTTTGCGGGGACTTCGCAATTTTAATTAGCCTCGTCCCGCAGGACTTTTCGCTCGCACCTTTCCCCCATTCGTTAATATTATTTACGATGTGCGAAATATAAAATTCCGCCGCCGCCGTTCCCCATTTCTGCGTGCAGCGGTCCATATGCAGGCCATCAAACGAACTTTAATCGATTTAAGCGCGGTCAGTTCGGTCGATTGGAAATTTTCACTGACGTTTTAACAGCATTAACGTCGGCCTTAATGGCCTTATGTACATGCCGTAGCGGGAAAAAGCACGCTAATACTGACCTCCATCAGACGTAAGTCGATTGCTCTGCCATGGTCTTACGGGATCTGGAAAAAAAAATCAAGTTAAAATTGAGACAATGCCAGATTGTGGAACTTTAAAGGAATTTTCTGTTCAAACTAACTATTACATCTACACGCAAAAACAAGAATATATCGCCATCGGGATAAAGGTGAACTAAACCAACATTTCCTTATCACTACTCCACGTACTGATATAGCAATCGGCTCACCACTAACACTGAAATTGCATAGTTATACCGATACTGAGTCTCGACATTGACATATTTAACAGAACTCACACCAGAAGCAAATTAAAAGTCAATTTTCAGTTTCAAATACGGTCAAAAATTTAGAATTTATTCATTCATCAGTAGAGATCGGATTTCTAGGTTTAATGCTTTTTGTGAAAAATGTAAGCACTTCAAAACCTTTTTATATCTGTAACTATGATACAATTTGGAGTCATTTGACACATTTTTTTTATGCTTAGTTGCTTTTTTTTCAATTTTATGCATATTAAAACTTATATGGTTATTTAATGCTTTTTTCGACAAATATGAGTTTTAATGCATACATATTTTGTTCAAATGCCGGCCTTGTCGGGATGACAAATACTTGTTAGTTAACCGTATCGTATCGTATGCATTTTACCTGGACTTGACCATTGAAGTACACTTACTCAAGACCTTTTCTGTGAATAGGTTCCGGTCGTTTGGGTAATAAAATTTTATTATAGGATTGGAAAAATACTCCATAGATTTTATGACTTTAAGTCCTTACTTCCGTTGATAATGAATTAAAGCTTTTAACCAGATGTTCTTTTTCGGCATTTTGCGGCAAGACCGTTGAAGATTTTCTAGAAAAAAGGTTTATTGTACCCAACTACCTACCTTAAAATTTTTCTAATGGAAACTTTAAAGTAAATGAACCGTTTATTTCACAACCATCAGTCTATCGCATCTGTCGTAGTACAGTGTTATACGTGGTTCTCCCTTGTTACATGTTGAGTTCTTTTTGGTAATATTACTAATATTTTAAAAGAATGCCGAAAGTAAAATCGACGCCGGATGAGTGGATAAGGAATTTTCCAGAATTAAAACTAGAAAACAACAAAATATTCTGCAGAGCTTGTGTGAAAACCGTAAGCCCATTCATTTTTTTTTTATCTATTTTCCTTTGTTAATCCTGTATATGTACGTTGTTTTAGATTCAAAGTGATAAAAAATATAGCGTGACGCAACATGTCAGAGCGACTCTTCATGTAGAAAGGAAGAAAATGTTTGAAGTTTCTAAAATTAAACAGCAGACCATACATGAATCTGTTGCATCTACTTCCACAAAAGATGAGCAGTTTCAGTTTAATTTCGATTTATGTAAAATGATGATCCAGTCCAATATACCTTTAAAAAAATTAGAGAAAGGCCCTCTTCAAGAATTCCTTGAAAAACACTGCAATCGACATATTCCGGTTGAAAGTACTCTCCGAAAAAATGATGTAGGCCCAGTGTTTCAGCAAGTTTACAACGAAATTAAACATCGCATTGGAGATAATTATTTATGGTTCGCTGTCGATGAAACAACCGATAGTTGCGGAAGATACGTGCAAGTTTAATTGTTGGAATCTTAAATGAAAATTTCCCTAGTCGAGGGTATGTAGTAAGTTTGAAAATGTTAGATAAAACAAATGGCAATACGATTACCAGATTTGTAAATGACAGTCTTACGTCACTATTTTTGCCAAATGCCGTACCGCCGAATAAAATTTTATTGATGATCTCGGATGCAGCTCGTTATATGTTGAAAGCAGGGAATAATCTAAAAATATGTACCCCAATTTAATTCACTCTACTTGCATTGCCCACGGTTTAAACAGAGTGGCTGAAGGAATACGTTTGCAGTTTCCTACTGTTAAAAAATTAGTGGCAAATGGTAAAAAGATTTTTGTTAAAGCCCCACTAAGAGTGCAACATTTTAAGGAAAAATTTCCAAACATACCAATGCCCCCAGAGCCGATTATAACGAGGTGGGGAACATGGTTACAGGCCACATTTTATTATGACAAATATATCAAAGAATTTGAGGAAGTAGTTACGGAGTTTAGCGAAGATTCTTCTCAATCGATTAAAGATTGCATAACTATTTTGGAAAACAAAGATTTGCGACAAGATTTAGCTTTTCTAAGAAGCAATTATCAATTCGTATGTGACGTAATAGAAAAGTTAGAAAAACCCAACATGTTGTTGGTAGATGCCATAAACTTAGTGAAAGAATTTAAACAACAAGCAAACGCAGTAAGGGGAGATATTGGTACTAGAGTATCTCAAAAACTTGACGAAGTGTTAAATAAAAATGCAGGTTTTGGTGTTCTTTCCGACGTTGCCCGTGTTTTACAAGGCCAGAAGGTGGAAAATTTGGAGTTAGATTCAACATTAGTTGCAAAATTCAAATTTGCGTCAGCAACGAGTGTGGATGTTGAAAGCACATTCTCCAATTTTAAACACATTTTAAATGATCGGCGAAAAAATTTTACAGTGGACAACTTGGAACATATTTCAATCATAAATTGTTTTAAAGAAAACTGAAATACGTGTGTAAAATATAAAGTCTAGGATTATTGTAATAATATTTTATCCAAAGTTCTAAGAAGTGTTCTTTGATTTGTAATATGATTATGTTTTTAATGCTTTTTTGCTTAAAATAAAACTTTTTTATTGAAAATGTTGTGCTTAATTAAGCGCTTATTCTTAATTTTTTTGTGCTTATAAATCCGCTCTATATTCATCAGGATTTAAGATTTAAAACACATAACATCGCATCTAGTTGGAAAGTCATTTATTGCATTAAAAGTACTGTATTTTAACTATCATATCTTAAATTTGAGACTAGGCACTTCCAATAATGAGCTCTTGCATGGTATTATACCATCCATGTATAAATCAAGTGAGAGAATACAAAATACTTGCTGCTGATTTTTTTTTTAAATTCGAGAAATACGGTTGTGGAGTTAGTAGTTAATGTAAGATTAAAGTACATGCTCTTGTACTTGTGGCTTATGAATCCGTCTTGTTCCTGCTTATTACTATTATTATTTTTGTTGTCTAATCGTTCGTCTTCTTTAGACACATAATACGAGAATACCCAATTTTCTCGAAAAACTGAGAGTCCAGTGGTGTTATTAATAGTACTAAGAAATTTTTAATTTTCCGACGAAAGTGAAAATTAAAAAAAATTAATATCCGTAGACGATTTTTTATAGTCAAAATTGTATTATCAAAACTTTTCTTAAGTTGAGGAGTTTAATGGCACTGCTAGACTTCGCCCCACTCTTACTTTTAGACTGATCGAAGCATTATTATTATTAAAAAGTAATCGCATTTAACTATAGGTATTTTTTTTGTTTTTCCCTATTATTATCCTTTAATTGGGTTTCTTATCCGTTGAACCTTGTCATAATAATAGTAATAATAATGATAAGAGTCCCAAGGGCCGCCTGAAGGTCAGTCCGATATAGCACTTTGGATTCGATACATTAACAACCTAGCATTTTAGTATACATTTTAGTCGATATTTTAAATAATTTTGTAGTTTTTGCAAAAAAACTTTTTAATTAATAAATAAAATGAGTCATTCATTCAATTTTTTGAGTCGCTCTGTATAAGCAATTTAAAAAAATATCGCAATGGCAAATCACGAGTACAGAGTATATAGATTTTCTTTTCCAAACATCTGGATATCTCTGATAAAAACTCAACACGGAATCATAAACTACACGTGCAGGAGTACGTTATTTTATAGAATTTAAAACCTACTTGCCATGTATAATTTTGAGGTGACGTCATCACATTGTTGGTGGGATGATTGTACAAAGTTTGGTTGGAGTTTTATCAACTGCAGGATATTCATAATACACATAAAAAATTTGACAGCAATCCGTCCGGTAGTTGCGAATATTGTCTGTCAAACAACAAAAAGCGACACAAACGGCGCACAGACAGACAGATGGAAACGGGAGACAATTTTTTTCGTAGTCCAGGGGTCATGAAACGTTGAGAAAACATAAAAGTGGACATTCGTCCCATGGATTTGACTACAATACATCCTTAACGTAGTGAGTCTTAAAAACAAATACGATTTTTAAAATTAGAGAAACCTGAACGGGCTCGCTACGCTCGTATTCTAAAGGTGTGTTTTTTCTAAATGTGGAGATTTATTGTTTATTAATTGAACCCAAACAACTTCGCTAAGACTTCTGAGAGTAAACTTAAAAAAATTGGTCGAAGGTTATGTGGACAGGAGTTCCCTCGTCCCTAATGTACAGTATAAGAAATCCCGTTTTTTTGACAAATTAAAAATACACGTAAAAATAAATCGTCACCTGAGAACTTGTCTGATCTACAGACCAGAACCCACTCAGGCCAATATCGACCGTAATCGTTCAGAAACGATTTGATCTATAAGCCATTATATTTCTACGGGAAAGAATTGCTTGGTCGGAGTTCACAACGAGTAAGTGAAGATTTTGTTAGATACATGTGTTAATTATTGACTTGCAACTATTTTTTGATTAATTAAGAAATAATCCTTTAATTATGTTTGGTACTAGTAAAATTCCGCAAATTAACAATACTGTTAGAATCGTTATCATGCAATAGATTTTTTTCGAAAAAATGTAGTTATTTTTATCTTTTGGGAACGTTAGGATCTGATTTGCATGCATTTTTACTAATTTTTTTTTTAATAATGAATGTTTTAATTTTCGCATTTCTTGACTCATCAATTTTTCAGGTCTTTAAAAAACACAAAAATTGAAAAACCAAAGTTCCAATTTTTCAACTTAACTTTTTAGATTTTTCCATCCTAATTTTTCAGTTTTTGAATTTGCCAGATTTGGGATTTTGCAGTTTATTTATTATTCAATTCTTCGATTTTACAATTTCTAAATTTTTCAACTTCACGATTTTCAATTTTTCGATTTCTCAATTTTCCAATGCTTCAATTTCACGTTTTTCCAATTTTTCTCTTCTTCAATTTTATGATTTTAAATA